CGACGTCGGAGGTCATTCCAGGTTGTTGTGGAAGAGCAGAAGGAGGGGAGGCATGCTCGAGAGGGTCGGTATTCCAGTTCTCTGCAGTAGAAGTTTCGTTTATCTAATTTCTGCACTGATAGTCGATCTCATTTCTCGATCCCTCAACGGGGGGAGTGGGAGAGTCGGAGGAAGGCTCAAGATAGCCTTAAGTCGGGCCTGTCCCTCTACAGGAGGAATATGCAAACACAGGCAAAACAATACTATGGGGACGATATTTCTACCATGTTTGAACATTGTTCGTCCAGAATTCGCCTGTAGGGGGACATGCTCGACCTAAAACTAGCCAGGTCGAGCGAGTCAGACAGCCCCGCATGCTCCCACCCTCCCTTCGATAACATAAGAATCAAGTTTGGCAAAACCTGAGATTTGGATTGGAACGCGCTCCCACCCAGCGAACGGAAGGCGCTCGCTCGCGGCCCCGCTTCCGACGGCTTGGCGACGGGAAAACGACGTGGGCCACGCAGGGGCGGGAGCGGCACGACTTCCGAGGAGCCCGTCAAAGACGAAGCATGCGCCGCACCGACACAGCTACCACGTTCACTCACAGCCTGCGCGGCGCTTGGGCGACGGCGGCATTTTTGTCCCGCTCTCGCGCGGCCCCGCTGCCGCGGTTGCTCCCATCGACTCCGCCGAACGAGCCAAGCGCCGCGCCCCCGCGGGAACGCCCCCTCCGAGCGAGTTGCGGGCGGAGCTCGGGCGAGGGCGACAAGCCGCCCGCTCGCCCGGGGCCCCCAACAAATCGGCGAGGGAGCACTGCACGCCGCGCCCGCGTGGGAGCGCCGGCGTCCGGCGAACTCTGCGCGTCTCCAAGAGGCGAGAGCGGCGGCTTCATCCGCTGACGCGTCGACGAGGTGGCGTGCGACAGATGTGCGCCGCGCCCCTCGGGGAGCTCAGCTCTCTCTCTGGAAGGACGGCGCGGCGCCGAGGCAAGAGCGGCGGCTTCATCCGCTGACGCGTCGACGGGGTGGCGTGCGACAGATGTGCGCCGCGCCCCTCGGGGAGCTCAGCTCTCTCTGGAAAGGCAGCGCGGCGCCGAGGCGGAACGGCGTCTCGGTCTTGCGCGCGAGATGTGCGTCCCGCCCCCTTCTTGCCACGCATGTGGCAACGTGGGCGACAGAATGTCAGGAGAGGAAAAAAATATACAGACACAATGAATCGTCGACTCCCAGGAAATAGAGAAACATATAGGAAGGGGGGGAGACGAGAATCCAGAAAATATGGTAACATATGGGGAATATTGGGATTTGTGTGTATTGTAGTGGCCTCCGGCCAGTGCCGCCGATCCGGGGCGTTCTTGATGCTATTGTTGTTGAAATGGACGATGACGACGACAACGGACAACCAACGGTCGACGAGCGGGATAATTACGACGACGACCGACGAAGGAGTTCATGACGACGAACCGACGTACCGACGACGACGACGACGACGACGACGACGACGACGACGACGACGACGGCGACGACGACGACGACGACGACTGACGGCGAACGGCTGCCGACGGCCGACGACCGACGACTGGTGACGGCGACGGGTGGAAGGTTCTTCGTTCATCGTTTTCGCTTCCGAGCAATACCAAGTCAGGCCGTGCACCTCTGGCCTGGCAGCACGCGAGTGAGCGCCTCTTGGGGCCTCTTGGTTCTTGGGGCTTCTTGGGGGCCTTTGGGGCCTCTTGGGGGCCTCTCGGGGTCCTCTTGGGGCCCTCTTGGGGACCTCTTGGGGGCCTCTGGGGGCCCCTTGGGGGCGCCTCGGGGGCATCTTGGGGGCTCTTGGGGTCATCTTGGGGTGGAGGACTAGAAGGGTCCATTCGGGTTCACCCTCTTGAGGCCATCTTGGGGGTCTCTCGGGGTCGTCTTGGGGGGCCTCCAGGGCTATATTGGGGCCCTCTTGGACCGTCTTGGCTCCTCTTGGGGGCCTCTTGGGCTGTCTTGGGGCGTTCTTGGGGGCCTCTTGGACCGTTTTCGGCGCTTCCAAGACGGAAGAGCCGATAATGTTAAAATGCTTCAAAACCTATTAGCAACTTTATTATTGTACCCTCTTGGGGCCCTCTTGGGGGTCCTCTTGAAGATATCCTTGAGGCGTCTTGGAGGCCTGTTGGGCCATCTTCAGGCCATCTTGGGCGTCCAGGAGTGCTCTTGGGCCGTTTCGGGCGCCTCCTGGACCGTCTTGGTGGCCTCCTGGGCCCCTTTTGGCCCGTCTTGGGGCGGTTTGGGATTCCCGGGGGGGGGGGGGGGGGGGAGAGGGACCCCCCCCCTCCCCCCCCCCCCCCTCCCTCCCCCCCTACCCTGGCAGAGCCCCCCCCGGCCTCCCCCCAGCAGAGCTGAAGCTCAGGTACGCCGGATCGGCGGATTTATCTGTGTGTCCTTGGGCCCCTTGAGAATGCACATGTTGAACGCAACAGTGCCCATAACGCCACTGTTCAACAGTCAGAACGGAGGGTCCCAGATGTGGCGGCTGCCGGTCGGCCAGGTATCAGAGTGGGGCTGCACCAAGAAGGAATGCGGATGGGGAGGGGAGGGAGAAAGGGGCAGGGCAGAGGGAGCAGGGATGGGGCGGAGATGGGGCGGAGGGAGGAGGGTGGGGAGGAGGAGGAGGAGGAGGAGGAGGAGGGAGGAGGAGGGAGGGAGGAGGAGGAGGAGGATGAGGAGGAGGAGGAGGAGGAGGAGGAGGAGGAGAGGAGGAGGGGGGGGGAGGAGGAGGAGGAGGAGGAGGAGGACGAGGAGGAGGAGGAGAGATGGCGTGGAGGGAGGAGGAGGAGGAATGCGGGAGGATAGTGGGAGGAAGGAGGATGGGTTGACGGTGGGAGGGAGGGTGGAGAGAGGGGAGTAGGAGGGGCGAGGGACCATGGAGGGAGGGAGGTGAGGAGGGGAGACGGTCAGGGGGAGTGTCTGCATAGTGTCCGAGGCGGCCGGCGCCGTCGTCGTCGTCGTCGTCGTCGCCCTTCTCGTCCTCCTCCCGTCTCTTTCTCCTCCCGTCTCCTTCTCCTCCGCCCCCTCCCCTTCCACGTCTTCCTCCTTCCCTCCTTCGCCCCCCCCCCCGACGATCTGGGGGCCCCTGGTTTGAGAGGCCGGTGTGCTTGGGCATCGCGCGTTCTAGCTCGCACGTGCTTCACTTCAGCCAGAACCCGCCGTGCACACAGCTTACTGCGTCAGTCTAACAAGCCCTCCTCACCAGAGGTCTCTGGATGTCGTCAGAGGCCCCCTGGGATCCCAAGAAGCCCTGATTGCCGGGGGCGTCAGAGGCGTCGAGCACACCGCTTGACCTCCTTTCTCTCCGGGGGGACGTCAGCTGACCACCTCACCGATCTTGGCCAGGCCGATAATTACTGGGCCCAGGATGAGTGGACTGCGCCTTCCTGGCCAAGCCAGAAGGGCACAGACACCAATCCCCAAGTCTGCCGAGCAGTGCAATACGATTGATCCCCTTCCCTCTCCCGCTTTCTCTCCCGCCTTTCTTTTTTTTGTGTCTCTCTTTCTCTCTCTCTCTCTCTCTTTTTTTTCTCTCTCTCTCTCTCTCTCTCCCTTTCGCCGCTGCTCCTGCGAGCTTCATCTCATCGCTCCGTCGGTCACGGCAACAGTTTGGTGCGAAGCCGTTACCCTCCAGGTTAAACAGCGTTGCCCCGACTTGTGCTGCTCTTGTGTTGAGTTTGTCTTTGTGCCTCAGTCCCTACCTAGGCTCTGCCTAGAAGGGTTCTTACTCGGTGTGCTTAAAGGGCCGGGCAGTGGACTACGCCCCGGGCGGTTTCCCCCAGGATCCGCCCCGCGGTTCCCCCGGGATCCCCCGCTTTGCCTAGCCTAGCTTAGCTTAGCTTAGCTAGGCTTAGCTTAGCTTAGCTTAGCTTAGCTTAGCTAATATTGGCTTAGCTTAGCTTAGATTAGCTTGGCTTGGCTTAGCTTAGCTTAGCATAGCTTACCTTACCTTAGCTTAGCGCAGCATAGCGCAGCGCAGCATAGCGCAGCGCAGCATTAGCACAGCATTGCATATCATAGCATAGCCATGCATAGCATAACATAGCATAGCATAGCATATCATAGCATAGCATAGCTCAGCATGGCATAGCATAGCATAGCATAGCATAGCATAGCATATCATCGAATAACATAGCGCAGCATAGCATAGCATAGCATAGCGCAGCATAGCATAGCATAGCATAGCATAGCATAGCGCAGCATAGCACAGCATGTCATAGCGCAGCATATCATAGCATAACATAACTACGCATAGCTTAGCTTACCTTAATTTAGCTTAGCGCAGCGCAGCATAGCGCCGCGCAGCATTAGCACAGCATAGCATAGCATAGCATAACGTATCCATGCATAGCATAGAATAGCATAGCATGCAAAGCAACATCAACACCAATGCGAACGTGTAGATGTAGCTGTAGGTGTAGGTGTAGATGTGGATGTAGGTGTAGATGTAGATGTGGATGTAGATGTAGGTGTAGGTGTAGGTGTGGATGTAGATGTAGGTGTGAGCCTCGCTGTTGATGTTGATGTAGATGTAGATGTAGATGCAGGTGTAGATGTTAATGCAGCTGTCGGTGTAGATGTAGATGTTGCTTTCCTAGATGCTCCAACTCCTAGTTAGGGTCGCACTGGGATGATTTGCTGGCTTCCCTCCTCCAGGGCGGGTGGGCGGTCGGTCCAGCTGTTCTGAGGTGACTGCAGACGGCCGCGCCACTGCCTCGCGGTGCCGCGCAGGAGCCTCCACCGTCCTTCTCTTCCTCCTGTTCCACCTGCTCCTCCTCCTCCTCCTCCTTCTCTTCCTCCTCCTCCTCCTCCTCCTCCTCCTCCCTCCTCCTCCTCCTCCTCCCTCCTCTCTCTCCTCCTCCCCCTCCTCCTCCTCCTCCTCCTCCTCCTCCTCCTCCTCCTCCTCCTCCTCCGTCTCCTCCTCCTCGTCCTCCTCCTCCTCGTCCTTCTTCGCCTCCTCCCCCCTACCTCCTCCTCCGGCTCCTCCTCCTTCCCCGTCTGGTCCTCCTCCTCCTCCTCATTATCATCATCAGCAGCATCATCACCATCATCCATCATGCGCATCAGCATCATTATCATCTTCATCATTTTCATCATCATCACCTACATCATCACCGTCATCACCAACAGCATCAACATCATAAACATCATCATCATCAGCAGCATCATCATCATCATCATCATCATCATCATCATCATCATCATCATCATCTTCATCATCTTCATCATGATCATCATCATCATCATCATCATCATCCTCGTCATCATCATCATCATCATCATCGTCATCGTCATCGTCATCGTCATCATCATCATCATTATCATCATTATCACCATCGCGATAAACATCATCATCATTAACATCATACAGTGGGAACGCGCATCAAGAAACCATGTGCTTTTCCGTCCGGATATCCTTGGTTTCTTCGCTCCTCGCGCTGCGCGGTGACTTCCCGCAGCCGCTGAAGGAGCTGCTGCGTTCAGGGTGCTCCGGGTTTCCCCTCAGGTGTACCTCGCGCACGGGTTCTCAGGGTTGGGTTTCTTGCGAGGGTGTCTTGCGGCCGCGCCCGCACTGTAGGTCGCCGTGAGGCTTGCAGCGAACAGCAGCCGATCAGCAGGTAGCATACCGAACTCCCCGCGACTTGCCTGGTGCCCATCTCACTGCCCATCTGGCCTCGGGGAGCGGGGCATGTGTTTCACGAATTGGTGTCGGAGGATTGTACTGTTATCGCAGTGACATCATTCGATTGTGCGACCTTTGGGGATGTTAATTGGTCGAAGAGAAAAAGCCGCATGATGACGAGAAACACACCTTCCTGCCACGTTCAAGGGATAAGAAGCTGTATCTCGTTACAATTAACTGCCGCCAAGAGCAACACGTATGACGAGCTTACGGGACACCCATGTTCGTTGCCGTCGGACAGAACAGCGATTTCTCTTTGCCGACTTCCTGGTCTCGAACAGTTTCAAAAGACATGTTGGTAAACTTGCCGATTCGTGCGATCTGGAAGACTTGAGAGGGCCGATTCTGGCACAAGTGTCAATACGCGTGATGATGTGGTCCTTGTTCAGGTCGGGATTTGCATGCTCAGGGTGGACTGAAAAGAGGCTCAAGGGATCCAGAAACTCGGACCAAAAAGCAATCTGATTGATTCCGTAGCCATTTTGGCTCAAGACGAGGGGGGGGCCGCACCCGCGGACACCCCGTCGCGCGCAGAGTCCTTTGCCGGAGAGCGCCGCGCTCTACCCAGGCCCGGGGAGGCGATGCGGCCCGTAGCCGCGGCTCTCCTTCTGGTTTTCAGCGCCTCGCCGGCGGACGCCTTCCTGTCGCAGCCTAGGTGGCAGGGCAACAACGTCGAGGTCCAGAGGGGACATGCAGCCTTGCCAGTCGCAGCGCCTCGCCCAACACAAGCAGGCGAGCCCGCGGAGCACCAGCCCGCGGGCGCCGGTGGCCTCGTGACTGGCGCGGGGCTCCTTGCGGCGGCGCTGCTGATCAGGGGCATTTGCCGGTCCCACAGAACAAGAACGCACGCCATCGGCGGACTGAAGATCAAGCGTCCGGCCGGCCCTGGCATGAAGCGCGACATTGGCTTGTGGGAGTTCCCCGGGTACCAGGAGCACCTCAACCTGAAGAGGTATGCCCGCAAGAGCCCAGTCTATGGACACAGGCGTCTGAAATTCAGGAATCACATGAGGATGTCCCGCATCACCAGCTACACGGAGCAGTGGGTGTATTGGTACCCAGACCAGCATAAGTTCAACATGTATTACGGCCCAGCGTCGCACCCAGAGAACCCAGATTTCCCTGCGCCCTCAGGTGGATGGCCCGCCCCCGGTGGACCCTACGACATACCCATGTACACAGCCAAGAAGGCGATGTCCGGCTGGGCCCCCGCGCAGTTGTCGGCGTCCGTGGGGCGACAGGGCAAGAGGTGCGGGTTCGTCGGGGCCAGCGTGCGGACCGTGGGCTCCACGAAGCGCACTGTGTATGGCGCGCGCTCAGCCATCGCCATGCGCGCTCACAAGATGGCCGCATCGAGCACGAAGAACCAGGGCGGCGGCACCAACATCCCCAAATGGGTTGGCGTCCAGCATTCAGGCTTTCAGGGGAACGCCGTCAAGGCGGGCACGCTGCTCGTCAGGCAGACCGGAGTCAAATGGGCAACGGCCGGCGGTGGCGTGAAGATGACCAGGAATTACAACATCGTTGCGACTAAGGACGGCATCGTGCAGTGGCGCGGCAGCCCCGGCACCAAAGCGGAGGGCGGCAAGGGCGAGGTCTCTGTCGTGCCATGGGAGTACGTTCGCGCGAAGTGCGATTGGGCTGTCGACTCAAGCAATGACTGCACTCTGGTATACAAGGAGTACAAGCCGTGGATGGGGACCCACATGCACGAGAAGACGGCGACGTTCAACGGTGCCAAGAACGGCTTGCGTCGGAAGGTCATGGCCGAGAAGCGGAAGATCTGGGAAGAGAGCCCCGAGGGGCAAGAGCATTTCAAGAAGAAGCAGGAGAAGCGGGAGAAGCAAAAGGCGATCAACGCAAAGTGGAGAGCTTACAGGACGGCGAAGAGACAGGAAAAGGAAAAGGAAACGGTCGACAAATGAGCAAGCGTCGGGAGTGCCAACGACAGTGCATGTAGCCGCTGCCCCTGTGCATTAGATGGCGCTGTCGTGGCACAAGCCATCAAAAAAAGAAAGCAATCTGATTGATGTGGCGTATGAGTTCGCAATGGGCCTCGCGCGTTTCCAAGACGATTGGCCCACGACGCATGAGGTACAATCACGTTTGGGAAGTGTTTGCCGGGAGCAAGACTCATTTGACGCATTCACGCATTGGATTGCAAATGGAGTTGTCACACGGAGCGACAAGAAGTATCGATCGAGGGGTGTTGACCCACAAGCTATGACACAGATCTATCACGAGGATGTGCAACACAAGCTGATCAAAATACGGAAGCAGATGTGTAAGCAGATGTGTGTTACGAGGAACTGTTTGTAGCAATGGATCTGACGATCGATGTGAGTTGTTTCGATACATGTTTGGCACGTTCCCTTTTCCCATGGAAACGCACGAATTCATCCCCGATGCGAACCCGACTGAGGATATCAATGCAGCCGCGCAACACACAGCGGCCAAAACGCACCGACGGTGCATTTTGTTCGTTAGCACATCCCATGTCAGAGTCGGAAGCCGACTGGAGGTGGAGGTTTGTGTTGCACAGTTAGCGGAATGCGGATCAGGTTTGATACCAAAATTGACATTCCACTGACAAATTGAGCGAGGGGGATTCGAAGTCTAAAAGGTCGCAGACGATATTTCGATTGGGCCAACACATACTACACGCCGATTGCTTCGACACTGGATTCCGAAAGGGTCGCGCCGTCGGCCCGAATTCGGCGCGGTGCTGGTCCTGGCTTTGCCAGTCCGCCTCCTCGCCTCCTCTCTGCCGCGTCTCCCTCCGCTCCTGTCTCCCCCCCTCCGCTCCCCCCCTCCTCTCAGGAGGGGAGAAAACACACAGACACAATTAATCGTCGATCCCCAGGAAAATATTGGAAAATATGGGAAGTGGGGGGAAGACAAAAACCCAGAAAATATGAGAAAATATGGGGATTTGTTTTATTTGTGTGTATTCATGTGTGTGTTCCAGTTCCCCTTCATCCTCCTCCCTCTGCTCCCCGGCCTCTTTGGCCCGCACCCCACCTCGGCGCGGCGGCTCTGTCCGCCATTGCCTGCGCCACGCGATCAAAAAACGGCCCCCGAAGGGGCCAAGGTGATGGGCCTGTTTTCCAGCACCATTACCACAAGTTGGAGGGGGGAAGGAGGAGGAGGACGAGGAGGAGGAGGACGAAGAGGAGGAGGAGGACGACGAAGAGAAGGAGGAGTGGAGGAGGAGGAGGAGGAGGAGGAGGAGGAGGAGGACCTCCTCCCCCTCCAACTTATGGTGGTGGTGGTGGTGGAAAACAGGCCCATCACAAGGTGCGGCATGCGGCCACGTGGCCCGCTTCGGCCCGAACGCGTCCGAGACCGATGCTTACAGTGGGGGTCCTCCCTGCTTTGCGCGGCCCCGGCCGCGGCGCCGTCGCCGCCGGGCCCGCCAGCGTGGTCTTGGGGCCCTCTTGGGACTCATTGGAGGGGTCGGGGCAATTCAGCCCGCCCCCCTCGGAGACTCCAAAAATGTGTATTGGGACCCTCTGGGGCCGATCGTGGGCTTCTTTTGGGCGCTCGTGGGGCCGTCTTGGGGCGCTCTTCAGCCCCTCTTGGGGATCTCTTGAGCCATCTTAGGGCCACCTTGAGGTTTCAAAAGCCCATCGGAAGCGAAAAAACGAGAAGGCAAAACACATTGATATTCCTTTGGTGCTTGAAGGATGTTGGCCTCTTGGAAAATGCCTACGAAGGCTGGGGCTGTCTTGGGGCCTCCTGGAGGTATGTTGGAGGCTATGTTGAACCATCTTCGGCTATCTTGAGCCATCTTGGAGGCCGTCTTGGGCTGCCGAGGGCCATCTTGGAGCCTTGGGCCCGTCTTGAGACTCTAACTGCCTGGCCGCCCCCCCCTCCCTCGCCCAAGGGAGGGGGTTAGGGAGATGAGTCAAGCTATCCACCCGCCCGCAAGCCGTCTAGCTCGCTCCCACCCGCCCTCCCAACACATAAGTAATACCCGAGCCAGAGCATGTTCAGCGGTCGTCTTTGGATGGGCAGCTACTGGGAACCACAGCCGAGCCCATGTGCGCGACGCTTGGGCGAGGTGCGCCACGCGTGCCAGGGGCTCCGAGTGCGCCAGGTGTGCCGCACACTCCAGCCGCGCCAGGTGCGCCACGTTCGGGGCACGTGCAGAGTGTATCAGGTGCGCCTGCGCACGTGACAGCACAGATCGGGAAACATGTCGGCCTCCACCATCTTTGTGTCGAAAAGCAATACCCATCATTCTGTCTGGTGGGCCTGCGCGCAGCAGGCCACGCGCCACCATCCCCGCCGTCCCTGTCAAAAACCACTTGACAGTGATCGCGGGGTGGCCGCGCTTAATCTTGATTTTGCCGCGAGGCACATTTGTTGTTTTTTTTGTCAGGGCTGGTAGCCCTGCGCACAGCAGGGAATATGCTGACACCCCCGCCGTCCCGGTCAAAAACAATACAAACTGTTCGCGGGCACGGACATGACTCAATACTTTGCCCCAAAGTGTATTTTGTTTTGTTGTTTATCAGGAATGGTGGGGGGCCGCACCGGGTTGGCCGCGCATGCTCCAAATGTGGAGGCAGAGTTCGTTTTGTATTGTTTTTGTTGACAGGGATGGGGGGGGGGGCCCTCATGGGGTTGGCATGGTTCCGGGTTGGCCGCCGGCCGAGTGGGGGAGGGGTGTACATGAATAGGGAGCAGTGATCAAGACACCCTCCTAGACAGCAAGCCGTCTAGCTCACCCTCACCCGCCCTCCCAACACATACAACACCCGATCCCCAGCATGTAGCGGTCGTCTTTGGATGGGCAGCTACTGGGAACCAAAACCGAGCTCATGTGCGCGACGCCGGGGCGAGGTGCGCCACGCGTGCCAGGCGCGCCAGGCACCCTTGGAGCCCGAGTGTGCCAGGCACGCCTGGTGCGCCAGATGCACCACGTGCCTCCGTATGCGCCAGGTGTGCCGCACACTCCACCGCGCCAGGTGCGCCACGTTCGGGGCACGTGCAGAGTGTGTCAGGTGCGCCTGCGCACGTGACAGCACACCACCATCCTTGTCGAGAAGCAATGCCCATCCTCGTGTCTGGTGGGCCTGCGCGCAGCAGGCCACACGCCACCACTCCCAGCGTCCCTGTGGTAAACCTCTCCCCCGAGCAGGAGAAGGACGAGGGGAGAAGACCACGCTGGTGGGATGCTGTGTGTAGACGCTCCAGCGTCCCGCAGGTTGGGCAGCTGGGGCGTCTATACGCCGAACTCCCCGGCCGACCAAACGACATGATGCACATACGTCGGGCCCCTCCCCGTCCGTCCGCAAGCTGGTATTTCCCTCATCCAGGGGCCGTGCATTCCGACTGTTCTCCGCCCCCCTTCACGGCCCCCTGCCCCCCACTCCCTCGACGAGCGCCCGGCGGAAGCGCGCGCCGGCCCCAGGAGCCGGGCCCCTGGCGCTGGCATCCGTGCTGCTGGCCACGGCGTCCCTGGTGGCGTGGCGCTGGCCCCTCGGCGCCGCACAGCACGGCATGGCGAGGATCAGGCGCGGGGGGCCCCGCAGCCCGCACCAGACGAGCCATTTGTTCCTGTGGGGGGTGTTGCCTGGCGGGGGGGAATGGGCAGGTGGCGCTCCGTGCAGGGCCCCGTCCCGAAGGGGGGGAAGCGGGCCGCTGGAGGAGCGCAGAGGAGACGCCAGAGAGGGTGGGGCGGATACCATGTAACGCACGCGCGCGCGTGTCCCCCTCCCCCCCCGCGCGAACGTGCTCTGTCGGTTGTCTTTCGTGGGAGCCTCAGAGGGTCCCAAGATTCCGTGCCATTTGGGGGATTTCGTCCACAATGCATGGGCCATGGTAGAGTAGACATCATGACGAAGTGTGGACGAGTTCTGACGAACGTGAGATGAGGGGTGATCGAAATCTGGACGAATTCTGGTCGAAATCACGTTTATGATAGGGCCGCGGAGGTCCGCAGAGGCTCCCATGAAGGCTCACCCAACGACCCCCAGATCCGGGCGTTGCAATCTGGGCCTCGACGTCTGGTCTCGGGCCCCGCGACGATCACAGATCGATCCGGCTTGGAAAATACAGCAGAAAGATTGTGTTTTAGGTCCAGGGCTCTGGTCGTGGTGTTCGGTATGCATTATTTGTTTAGCAACGTCGGATCCCGGGGGACACCGACAATACTTTGCCATGAACGGGGTCTTAAGGGAAACAAGTTCTGAGGTTACTGTTGTTTTCTGGCTTTCGGCGTCCTCTCTCACCGAGCCCGGGGACAGTAACAAAAACGGCCCTGGATACCAGGATGAAGAAAAAAACTTGGGGGAATGCCCCCTGACCAAGGACCCGTTCCTATCAGGACCCGTTTCCTTTCTGCCGACAAATACCGCCACCCGTCCCTCGTCGCCGCGGCCGGACTCGCCTCGAAGTCCTGGTCAGAACGAGCACCGGGATGGGCCCGGGAAGTAGCAGCATCGTTATCTTCTTGTTCCCCGCAGGCTGGGTTGGCAACCCACGGTGGCAATTTTTGGATACGTTCGTTGGTGCAGGTCGGGCGGAGGGCACCCGTGGGGCAGCAAATTTGAGGGGATCAAGGATTGTGAGACAGTGGATGACAATGGCCCTGAAGGAGTCCCAGATGGTTCCTGAATTGCCACAGCAGGTCCAAAAGTGCACGAGCGGTGCAAGTTTCGTCGTCCCACGTTGATTGCCCCCCGTTGACGACCACCCGAGCAGGGCCGACTTACTAAGCTTATGTGTATGCGCGTTGGTCAATCCGCTCGCGCTGCCGCGCGTATCCCAGCTTCGGGCGGCGGAGATCAGTTTGGTGATCGGGCAGTGCCAAGGGTTAGGTCGGGCATGTCCCCTACAGGCCGATTTTGGACGAAACATATAAAGATGTAAAAACATGCGCTCTAACAATGATCAAACATGCAAAAAATCGTCCCCAGACTATTGTTTGCCTATTTTTGAGCGTTCCCCCTGTAGAGGGACAGGCCCGACTTAAGCCAAGGGGGATCACCAATTTCTCCTGAGGCTCGAGGTTCTGGCCGCGATGCTCGAGGAAGGCTTTAGATGCTCTGGAGTGTTCTAGGGGGGGGGCATTTTCTGAAGCAAGTGGCGTTTCCTCGAGGAAGTGGTTGGTGGCATTGCCCCAGACTGGGAAATCTTGCTCGTGCTGTCGATTACATACTTCCCACGCCGCATTCGCACCCGTGCATCCTATCAGAGGAGGAAGGACCCAGTTCGACTAGGAGGGCGTCCTGGGTGAACTCCAGCCGCGCTCGTTGATCTGCCACAAGTCATTCGTTTGCCTGCCGACGCCCTCCATCGAGTACTCCGCCCGAGCACGTCTCCACCCATTCCATGCTGGACCGTCCACTCAGCCTCTTCACGAGTCTACAGTGCGCGAGTGGCTCGTGTACTGGACGCTGAATCGCCATTAACGAAAGATCCAGGGGTACACGAGTGATTTTGCATGTGTGTCGCGCGCGCAGTGGCAGCAGCCATCGAGGCGCTCATGCTGCTCTCTCCCCTGGCCATCCTCCTCTTCGAGTGCTACCACAGGTGTCCGTCCCCAGGACGTCCCAGGAAACCTGGATGGTCTCCAGAGCACCCCTCACGAGGCCCAGAGGGCCCCAGGTGGCCCAGGCGGGCGCGAACACCTGGGGACACCTTGTTACCAGGACCTCGTCTGGCAGCCGGCCCTCGCGCCCCAGGCCTTAAAAGCTGGGCCGCCGCCCCGATTGCACCCCAGACCTGGACCGGCGCTGGGCAGGCCACGGCCGCCGGAGGCGTCGGGAAGAGAGCTCGTTCTGCGACCACCTGCGAGCCCCGCCCCTGCGGGTCCAGACGGCGGAGGGTCCTGTCGGACACCCCAGCCAGGATTCGCTTGGCTGAGTATCCTTCGAACTCCGAACCCTGGCCGGCGTTTCACCAATCAGGCATGCAGGGGTAGGCTTCACACGTGGTTGCCCACAGCCGGCACGAGGGTCAAGAGCAAGTCTAGCTTTGGAGGGGCGACGACGAGGAGGAGGAGGAGCAGGAGGAGGAGGAGGAGGAGGAGGACGAGGAGGAGGAGGAGAGGATTCTTGGTGTCTGGGCCTTCCACCCTGGAGTGCTCATCGTCTTGGGTCTCGCCGTGTTGCCATGCGCCCTCGGCAAAGGAACTTGTGCTCACGGCCCACGTTCTTGCCCTCCGCACTCCGCCCTCCTCCTCCTCCTCCTCCTCCTTCTCCCCCTCCTCCTCCCCCTCCTCCTCCCCCTCCTTCTCCCCCCCCCTCCTCGCCCTCCTCCTATCCCTCCTCCTCCCCCTTCTCCTCCTCCTCCGCCTCTTGTAGCCCTGCTTCGACCGCGCTCGTCTGGTAAGGCCCCTGGTGCTCCTGGCCAGGGCCCCCTAAACGTGGGCTTTCGGCAAACCAGGACTCTGGCACGCCCGATCCGAGGAAACTGCGGCCGTAGGTCGACACGTGCTCTATTTTTCGTTCTCCCAAGGTGGCTTCTTCAGAGTTCCGGTTTGCAGTGTCCTGGCTTACGGTCAGGATATTTGGCTTAGCGTGTCGCTCCGCCGGATTCTGGCCCACCGCGCTCTGGAGCGACACGCTATCCGCGTCCCAATCCCCGAGCGTCGATGTCCCGAGTCTTTCCCAGCCTCCCGCCCTTCGAGGCGGAACGACGTGCTGTCCGCTTGCATGGCACAGCGTGCCGCCAGGACCGTCGCCGCGACACGCTGAGCAAAAGTTCGGCGGCGCGCAGAGCCTCCTTTTAAGAGGCCGTCCCCCCTCCCCCGTGCCTCCCCCCTCTACGTTAGGCCTCCTAGGTGGGATCCGAGTAGATAGGGTCGGGGGATCGCACCGCATCGCCGGTGCATCGGCGATGCCGGCTCGATGTGGAGCCCGATTTGCTTCATGTCGACGTCGCCGATGCATCGCCGACGTCGACGATGCATCGCCGGTGCATCATCAATGCATCGCCGACGCATCGCCGATGTATTTCCAATGTATCGCCGATGCGGCGCGATCCTCCGACCCCATCCTATCCGACCCCATCTAGGAGGCCTCTATTTGCGCGCCAGCAAGACACGCGAAGCAAATGTTCCCCACCGTAGAGGGCCCCGACGTGGCCTCCTCCCAGCCGTGCCGCCGCCTCCGGCGCTCCTGCGCGCAGGCGCTCCGCCCCTGGCGGCCAGGACTCGGTCGGCCTCAGCGCGCTGGCGCCTCCCCCGCGGGGACGGGGTGGGGAGGCGAGGCCAAGAGAAGGATGAGGAGGAGGAGGAGGAGGAGGAGGAGGAGGAGGAGGAGGAGGAGGAGGAGGAGGGGGAGGAGGAGGAAG